AGGATGAGCCCTCCAAAAAAATGGCGAAGAGAAAGCATTCTTTGCCTCCTGCTGACAGACCTACAAAGAGGACATCCCCGCAACACAAGCCCTCTTCATCCAGGGCTAAAGCCTCCGGGGAAGCACAGGTACCAGGGAAGTCCAGCACGGACAAACCCGAAGGGGCAGACTCATCTAAGGATGCATGCCCTGTAGTCTGCATGCAGAACTACAAAGATACCACATCTGTGCCCTTGGTATAGAAGGCCTTGATAAAGTTGGCACCCAGGATGCCATCACACCTATGGTGACGAGGCGACCGGATCCAACTTTGATAATTCCTACGAAGTTGGTACCGACTGTGTACCAAGAGACAGCCAACCATCATGCAAAGACCTGGTACCGCAGTGCATGCAGACCTTGGCACCATCGGTGCCCGTCTTCCTGCCACCCAAACCATTGGTGACTTAGCAAGATTTAGTGGTATCATTGGTACCAGGCACACCCCTCTTCGATACTGACGCAACATCATCAGTGGGGCACAGCAGATTAGCCACTTCTGCATGCTTGGTACCTCATTTCTCTAACGACAGTGAGGATGAGCAAGATGTACCATTCTCTTCATGCCATTCTTCACCTAAACCAATGGCACAGGCTCAGCAACAGATTGTCCAGACACAGAAGTGGCAGCCTTTCCCTTGGCTCCCACCATTCCACTCCCACAGCTATGGCAAGGATGTGATGCATGGGGCATGGTCAAGACCCAGGTACTACTTCCAGTGATGCCACAGCCACAAGTGGCTCCTAACCTCCCTCCACCACCTGCATCTGAGATAATACAGGAGGTCATTGAGGACCTGGACGAGACCCAGGAGGACGAGACGTTGTCTCCGCCTCACATCTCTTCATCCTCCCTGGATGAGTCTATTATGCCACTCCTGCCTACCATGGGTGATGATTTCAGATCATTCCAGGACCTATACAAGAGGGTCACAGACTCACTCGACATTTCTCTGGCTGAGATCTCAGATGTGTAATAAAAACTGACAGACATATTACAGGCTTCACCTTCAGACAAGATATAATTGACAGTTAACAAAGCCATTCTTGATCCTGCTGAGATCCTATGGCAAACTCCTGCTTCTATTCCACCCACATCTAAGAGGGTGGATAGAAAATATTATGTGCCAGCGAAAGGAGTCAAGTTTCTCTTTTCACATCCCATCCCAAACTCTCTGCTGGTTGATGTGGCAAATAACAAGGGGAAACAAACACAATTCAAGTTGACCCTGTACGATAAAAATTGGAAAAGGCTAGACGTGTTCCTGTTAATCAGAATTGCGAATTACTCTGCTCTCCTTGCAAAATATACGTACAACCATTTTGAGAAGATGAGACTTTTTATTGATAAACTACAAGTGGACAAGGTATTTGATGAGGGTATCTTGATAGCAAAAATGGCCCTCCAGGTTTCCCATGACACGACTGACACAACTTTGAGGTCTCTTGCCACATTGGTAGTTATGTTCATAGTCTCTTGGCTCCATATGTCAGGCTTCCCTAGAAAAGTACAAGACACCATTGAAAACATTCCATTTGAGGGCCAGAAACTATTCTCGGCCAATATTGACATTTCACTCTATTCTCTAAAAGACTCAAGAGCAACCCTCAAAATTCTGGGTATGTACATCCCCCAACAGAAGGAAAAGGCCAACTGAATATGTACGTCCCGTGGTAGGGCGGCATCTTATCCACCCTAAAGACCCTACAACCTGAGGCTCCACCAGAGACAACCGAAGTGGAGACAGCCACAATATCAGCAAACCACACCCCAGTCCACTAACGGCAGGCAGACGTTTTGAACCTTTGATCAATGTTGTTTCTCCATGCCAGCAATTACAGAGTCAGCCTACAACCTTTTTTATGACGCCTGGGCTGTAATAACAATGAACATGTGGGCCCTAGCAGTCCTGGACAAAGGCTTAGCAATCCCATTAATCAAATTTACACCAACCAATCCCCATTCCCATCCCTGTTCAAGGACCCTTCTCGCAAGCCTTCTCGATCCCCATTCCCATCCCTGTTCAAGGACCCTTCTCGCAAGCCCCTGTTACAGCAAGAAATAACAAACTGCTACAAATGGAAGCAATAGAAATCATTCCAGAACATCACAGGGGAAAGGGATTCTACTCCAGATACTTCCTCATGCCAAAAAAGTCAGGAGGATGGAGGCCCATATTGGACTTACGCAGGCTGAACAAGTACTTAAGAAAGCAACGATTTCTCACAAGAAATTCCTCAGATTCATGCTAAACTATCAACACTATCAATACCAAATGCTATTGTTCGGCCTCTCAGTAGCTCCCAGGGCCTTCTCCAAAATTAGCACACCTAAGAAAATCAGGCATAGTAATCTTTCTTTACTTGGACAATTGCCTGATAGTAGCTCCAATGGAACAGCAGGCCAAACAATAAACAGAGGCCACAATCAGACTTTTTACAGAACTAGGGCTACAGATAAACACACAAAAGACCAACTTGACCCCATCACACGAACTCGAGTTCATAGGGGCCATGCCCGATTGCCTACGAGCACAAGTGCAGCTACCTCTTCCAAAATTCCACACATTTGCTGAGTTAGCACGTGTCATGCTCAGCCCCACAGTATCAGCCAGACAATGCCTGCAGTTACTAGGTCACGTCGACAATGGCTTACGTAGTTCCTCATACAAGGTTACACATGAGAACTCTTCAGGCCTGGTTGCACACTTGCTTCTGCCCACACAGGCACCCGTTGTGCAAAATCCGCAGCCCTACAAACAGGGTCAGAATGTCCCTCTCCTGGTGGCTTTAACACAACAACCTCTGCCTGGGGGTTCCTTTCCACCGGTTAATTCTGTTGATCCACATCATGACTGAAACCTCACTGGAAGATTGGGGAGCCCGTGTGCAGGATCACACTATCTGATAGAGATGGTCTCCTGAGGAGTCGAGCATGCACATCAATATACTCCAGTTATGAGTTGAAAGAAGGGCCTGCAAACACTTTCTCCCTCTAATTCAGGGCAAGGTAGTCAGGGTATATATAAACAACACTGCCTCCGTGATCTGCATTCATTGACAGGGTGGGGCCAGATCACATCACCTGTGCAACGAAGCGGTTGCCCTATGGACATAGTGCATACTCCATCAAATAGACATATCCGCGATATATCTCCCAGGCGAAAAAATGCCACTGTGGACACCAGCTGAGTGATTGTTTTCACCAGAAGCACAAGTGAGAGATGCACCCTCAAGCCCTGAATTCCATCTTCCGCAGGTAGGACTTTGCGGAAATAGACTTATTCGCAACATCACTCCACTCCAGATGCCCCAAGTACTACTCCGGGTAGGCTTGGGCAGGAACTCCAGGGGCAACGCCATGATCAGTAACTGGCCTCACTGCCTATTGTACACCTTTCCGCCACTTCCCCTCATAGGGTAGGTCATTCACAAGATAAAGCATGACAAAGGTGATCATGATAGCATCTGCATGGCCCAGGCAGACGTGGTTCCCTTATCTGTTGCAGATGTCACCTACAGTGGAGCACCCACAGGGACACTCCTTGAAGAAGAAAAAAAGAGAGGTTACTCACCTTATCCAGTAACTGGTGTTCTTTGAGATAGGTGTGCTTGTGGGTGCTCCATGACCTGCCCTCCTCCCATCTGTTTTGGAGCTTTAACATCTGTCCATGGTAGAGAAGGAACTGAAGTAACTGTTGATAACGTGCATGTTAGCACACTCATTGTGTTGTGAGTGGTGCTGCGTGTGTGCGCCAGTACCCAGGGGGAGTACTGCTGCCAAAAAGTTCTCATTAGAAGCTCTGGTCTGGGGCACCAAAACACCTAGGCCGTGTCCAGACTCAGGGTTTTTTTCGGGAAAAGTAGCCTTTTCCCGAAAAAACTTCCCCTGCGTCCAGACTCAAGCCGCGTTCTTTCGAAATTATTTCGAAAGAACGCGGCTTTTCTTTCGATGGCGGTAAACCTCGTTTCACGAGGAAGAACGCCTTCTTTCGAAAGTTCCTCTTTCGAAAGAAGGCGTTCTACAATGTAAAGAGGCCGTCTTCGAAAGAGAGCATCCAGACTCGCTGGGTGCTCTCTTTCGAAAAAGCGGATTTCCTCTATCGAAAGATCCGCCTGCAGTCTAGACGCGATCTTTCGAAAGAGGCTCTTTCGAAAGATGCTTTCAAAAGAGCCTCTTTCGAAAGAAGTCTGCAGTCTAGACATAGCCCTACAGTGGAGTGCCCACAGGGACACCCATCTTGAAGAACACCAGTTAATGCACAAGGTGAGTGACGTCTCTTATTTCCAGCTGTACCTGAGGGTGACTATATTCAGTATGTATATAAAAATACTTACACTGAGTCTGTGATCTGGTAAATGTCACAACATAAAGTAAGTCTGAAAACAAAACCCCCCCCCCCCATTGTTACTCACCTTTTAGGTCAACAAATCCACATACTCCAACAGAAAACACTGTGGCTATGTCTAGACTGGCAAGTTTTTTCTGAAAAAGCAGCTGCTTTTGCAGAAAAACTTGCCAGCTGTCTACACTGGCCGCTTGAATTTCCGCAAGAACAACTGACTTCCTACTGTCTGAAATCAGTGCTTCTTGCGGAAATACTATGCTGCTCCCGTTCGGGCAAAAGTCCTTTTGCGCAAAGGGCCAGTGTAGACAGCTCAGATTTGTTTTGTGCAAAAAAGCCCCAATCGCGAAAATGGCGATCGGGGCTCTTTTGCACAAAAGTGTGTCTAGATTGGCCATGGATGCTTTTGTGCAAAAGTACTTTTGCAGAAAAGCGTCCGTGCCAATCTAGACACTCTTTTCCGCAAATGCTTTTAACGGAAAAACTTTTCTGTTAAAAGCATTTGCGGAAAATCATGCCAATCTAGACATAGCCTGTCTGTTTATTATATTTTTTGGCATATGTGCCAATGTTCCCATATACTACCAATCTAAGAAATATGTCCAATTTTCCCAGGCTGCACATGCTGGAACAACAGGTAGTTGGAGGAGAACAAGCCAAAAACAAGGACCTGAAGGAAAAGCACAAACACCGGAAAAAATATGCAGATGAACGGAAAAAGCAGCTGGTGGCAGCTCTACAGAAATTTGATGAGGACAGCAGTGACTGGGTCCTGCTCAATGTCTATGACTCCATCCAAGAAGAAGTGCTAGCCAAAAGTAAGCTGCTGGAGAAAATGCAGAAGAAGGTAACACCTAACTAAGCAGTTATCTCTTTATACAGCTATGATTTGGGAAGCATCCCGTGAGATTACTCTTGGAGGTGCCCCTTACTCTTATACTCTGTCCCCTCATCCTTCTTTCCTCCTTTACCTTCTACTTTTGTTATGGTGGTAATGAGATGCCCCAGCCAACATGTTTCTGGAATGACTCGGGCATCTCTGTGTCTCTCAAACTGATTTTTGTTAACCAGCAAAACATGAATTAGTTGTGGATTTTGATTACTTTAGTCTCTTGATAATCTTAAATATTAAATTATCGTTGCTCATATCAAAACCTCACAATTGCTAAAACAGAAAATTCCCACTGTCTTATTCCACCTGAACATAACAAATGACCTACAAATCAAATATATAGAATCATAGAATTATGGAACCTTAGAGCTGGAACAGACCTCAGAAGGCCCTCAAGTCCAGCCCCTTGCCCAAGGCCGGACCAATCCCAATTTGACATGCTTTAAGACTGCTTGGATAGAAAAACAGACCAGGATACTGGAAACTTGAATTATCTACTTGGCGTTGCTATGACAAGTTGTTTCCCCATCTATAACTGAGAGCATTGATTTTCATTCACCTTTGTAAAGATCTCTGAGAGCTGCAGAAGAAAGTGCTATCCACATGTTAAATGTTAATATGATTTGTATGGTTACTCACATATATTTATAACATGGCAGAGTGAGCAGGACTGGGGGTTATTGAGAGTGGTCAGGGTGAGTTGTTCTCCATCTCCAGATTTTTCCTGCTTTGACTTGCAGCCTAACTAATAAATTGGTTTTGTGTGTGTGTGTGTGTGTGTGTGTGTGTGAGAGAGAGAGAGAGAGAGAGAGAGAGAGATCATCATTCTCTATAGTGGCACAGCTTCTTCCAGCAACTGAAATGGCAGGAGCATGTGCTTTTGATGCTGAAGAAATTAGGTGTCTGTCTCGATTTACTGTGCTTCATTATACCTGTGAAATAAATAATTGTAAATGCAAAATTGTGCCCATCAAAGTGATGCCATTCAGAAAATCAGACACTCTGACAACATGCAGCTTTAAAGATATAGTACATGACTACCAAAGGGCCTCCAAACCATGTGTGTACGTGTAGACCAATATATTCAAATGTGGGAATGTACCACTGAGATGGAAGATCCTAAATGCATGGAGATATCACAGGAATACAGGGTGTTCAAGCCTGAAACAAACCCAAGGTCCATCTAGTCCAGGATCCTGACTACAGTAGGAGCCACCACTAGATATATCAAAGAAAGAGGCAATAAACATTGTAGTAGAAACGTGGGATAATCTGCCCCCAGAGGAGTTCATCCTAATTCTTAATAGTTAGAGATTTGTAAGTTATCTGTTCCCTCAACTTCATGTGGCAGTGAGTTCCACATTCTAATTCCATATTCTGTGAAGAAGTATTTCCTTTTATCTGTTTTGAATTTACCAGCTTTCAGTTTCATTGAAAGTCCTCTTGTATTGGGTTCTGAGACAGAGAAAATAGAAGTTCTTCTTCAAGGAGTGTCCCTGCGGGTGCTCCACCTTAGCTGTTTTGGGCGCCGCTGCGTGCCTAGTCGGAGATTTTTGGTAGCAGTGCCCACCGGTGGGCTGCGCATGTGGATCAGACAGCACGTGCAGCGCCACCACTATGCATGTGCAGCAACCATCCCCTCAGTTCCTTCTTCGCTGCCACCAGTGTTGGTTGGAACTGCTGTACGCTCCAACAAAAAAAATTTTCTCTATTGCTCTTGTATTGTAGTTTAGCATAGATACCTGTTCTTCATAGGTTTCATAGTGTAATAACTAGAAAGAGTTAGTGTTTGTTTCTTTTTTTAATAAGACTTTTCTTCCCTTTTTCCTTTTTAAGGCCACTATTTTTTGCCTTAGCAATCTCTTTGCCCTGGGATGTCAGGTTCCCCAGGCTTCAAGCGCTGCCTGTTCTGTAGGCTCTCCATTCCTGATTTGGACAGGCACTCATAGTGTGTCTGGTGCCTGGGCCAGGACATGCCCCAGCTCAATACCAACACTGCAAGCAGTTGATGGCCCAGACATGAAAGCCAGGGAGCTGCAGCTCAAGTTGATCTCCCTGGAAAATACAGTAAGGCCAGCCTCTGACCCTGAGCTCTCTACCCTACCTCAGCAGCTCTCTCCAGTGCTATATCCAAGAAGACAGCCTCATCTGCCTCTGCTATTAGAGACTCTTTTGTGGACCAGTCCAGGAAGAGGTCTCATTCCTCGAGTAAGGTGACTCCTCCTCAAAAAAAGGGGGCAAGCACCTAAAATACCCTCTGCATTGACCCAGTCTAGGGCACCAGACACAGAGGTACTGGGAATGTCAACATCTAACAGTTCCTAAGGGTCCAAGGACCTCACAAAGGCAGCTGCCAGGGCACTGGAGAAGCCTAAGTCAAAACTGGCACCGCCAGCACCGTCTGCCTCTGATTTGGCACGTACGAAGGCTAAGTTGAAAATGCCTTATGTAGACGCTCTGTCAGCACCAAAAAAAGCTAAGGCGCACACCACACTGTTGGTACCCATGCCATCCCCAGTACCGAGAAAGCATAAACAACCACTGCTTACTGCTTAGTTGGCACTGTCCACACCGCAAATAGCTGTAGTGCTGCCATCTACGCTACCACCAGTGCCACTGGTGTTAAGAACAGCTGAGGAGCTCAGAATGATGTTCGTGCTAACCACTCCATTATTTGGCATTGATGGTACGCCCACTTCCCGCAGGTTTACCTTGTCCACTCCTGCAGGCTTGGCACTGCCATTATCGAGCAATGAGGAAGATGAACCTCTCATCGATGCTCATACACCAAGGCACTCTTCACCTAAGAAACCTCAACTGCAACAGCAGCAGCAAATGCTGCAACCAGCACCCCAATGGCAACCACCCCATTGGCTCCCACCTCCAATGCCTATGCCAGCCAACTGGCCATACTGGGATCCTTGGGGCCCCTATACAGTCCAGCAACCACCACAGATTCAGCTTCAGCCAACCCCACCTGTACCATCCAGGGCTGCCTTTATACCATCCTTAGATGCATCTTGGTGCCTGGAAGAGGACAAGACTCCTCCTAGTGATGATGAATCTAATGGTTTCCTCGCACCCACCTACAAACATTTCGTCTTTTTCCCCTGATGACACACTGGTGCCTCTGCCTCCCACAGCTGGGGAAGACTTTAAGTCCTTCCACGAGCTGTACAGAAGAGTGGCTGATGTTCTGAAGGTCTCACTAGTCAGACTCCCAGGCTACGTCTACACTGGCCACAATTTCCGGAAAAGCCATGCAAATCAGGTAAGTCAGGATAGGGAAATCCGCGGGGGATATTTAAATAAACATGTCCGCCGCTTTTTTTCCGGCTTGGGGAAAAGCCGGAAAAAAAGCATCTAGGCTGGCGCGATCCTCCGGAATAAAGCCCTTTTCCGGAGGATCTCTTATTCCTACTTTCAAGGAATGCTACTGGTCTGCAATGCTACTGGTCTGCAAATACTATGTTGCCCCAAAGGGGCTCACTTCCTGTTCTCGCATCTGGCCCCTAACTCCATAGTGGCCGATTCAGTGAACCAAAGGGACTAAGGGTATGTCTACACAACAGCACTAATTCGATCTAACTTAAGCTAATTCGAACTAGTGCATCTAGACCTAAAAACTAATTAGAATTAGCGTTTTGCTTATTTGAACTAGCATGTCCACATTGAGTGGACCCTGAACCAAAGTTAAGGATGGCCGGAAGTAGTGCTGGCAGGGCATCAGGTTAGGATTTAGAGCGTGGAGCTGCTGTCTCAGGATAGCCAAGGGCTGTGCTTAAAGGGACCCGACCCCCACCCAGACAGACAGTTCTCAGGGTTCCCCGCTTGCTTCTCTAACTCGATGAGGGAAAGCAAAGCAGTCCTGACTTGGAGTGCCCTGAATGCCCACACTCGGCACATCACAGCACTTGGCCATCAGCCCAGCTGCACTTGCCACAGGCTGCCATCCGGAGGGGTAAATAGGGGGGCTGCAGGAGAGCTTCCACCCCGAGGAGCCTGCAGAGCCACCCCAGTCCTTTCCATCGGGGGCTTGTACCCCATTCCTCCCTCACCTCCTTCTACTTACCCCTCCCTAGCCCCCCTTCCTGATGTAAAAAATAAAGGACACGTGTATTCAAAAATAGAAACTCTCTTTACTTAACAAAACTTGGGTTGGGGGGTGGGGACTAACCTCTGGGGAGACTGGGAAAAGGAGGTGGGAGAGGGGAAGAGAGCGGGTGGGAGAGGGGAGGGGGAAACCTAGGTGGAGGGAGCTGGAAGGGGGAAGCCAGGGGAAGAAGGAGGAGGGGAAGTATAAAACTATGGTACACCCACATCTTCAGTACTGTGTACAGATGTGGTCTCCTCACCCCAGAAAAGATATTTTGGTCTTGGAAAGGGTTCCGAAAAGGGCAACTAAAATGATCAGGTGTTTGGAACAGGTCCAATATGAGGAGAGGCTAAAGTGACTGGGACTTTTCAGTTTGAAAAAGAGGAGACTGAGGGGGGATATGATAGAGTTCTATAAAAGCATGAGTGGTGTGGAGAGGGTGCATAAAGAAAAGTTCTTCATTAGTTCCCATAATAGAAGGACTAGAGGACACCAGATGAAATGAATGGGTAGCAGGCTTCAAACTAATAAAAGAAAGTTCTTCACAAAGCAAATAGTCAACCTGTGGAACTCCTTGCCACAGGAGGCTGTGAAGGCTAGAACTAGAACAGAGTTTAAAGAGAAGTTAGATAAAGTCATGGAGGTTGGGTCCATGGAGTGGTATTAGCCAGGGGGTAG